AACTGCTCTGCCCTGGCTCAAATTGCTGCTGTCCTGGACGCACATGTAGATGCTGCTTCTGGGAGTAGTTGATTCTGGCTCCAACTGCTCCAGAGTTTATTGCTTCACATTGGTTGCAAGCGTAGATGCACACACACAAACAAACCTGGTGGCAGAGTTGGAGAATGTATTTTGTAGCGTTCCTTTCTCTAGCAGACTTTTGGGTCTGCTCCTACCACCATGAGGGTTTACAGTATGTTGCCACATACAAACACCATGTTTTCCAAATATATATGAAGACAAACAGAACTTTCCTGAAAAGACTTCAGTAAAGGTGAATCAGGAACTGGAAGCAGGGGAGAAGGAGTGGAAAGCACTGAGCATGCTGCTGTGGGTTGGATCAGGGACTATCCAGAGATTTCTTTGGGCTGTAATAGGAGCTACCATTGATATGGCCCTAGAAGATGGAACAGATCGTCCAAGGAGGTTGCTGCATCCAATCCAATTCTACATATCCCAGCCAAACAAGCAATCAAAAAACTGCTGAAGGAGAGAGATTCTGCTAAGAAGTTAATTTACTGTGAAAGCCAGTTTTTGTTGTTGTTGTGTGGAGCTGACTGGCCTTTGTAAGTCTCACAATGGGCCTGTGTTTACCGATGGGAATTTCTCCAGATTGCAGCTGAATAGTGGCCATAAAGTTTTGCTCTGGAGGTTTCATGAAGTCTTGCATGAAAAAGGTGCTCTGTACAGAAAGGGATTGCAGCGAAGGGTAGGCCCATTGGATATGAGCAACCAGGGCTGGGATGGAAAAAAGAGGGGAAATGAGTATGTTTTAAAGCTGTAGAGCTCAGTGTGATGGGGAGGGTGATGTCCACTATGGTGCTCTTTGGAAACTAGGATCTGGCTTATAAAGCTGCTGTTAAGCACTTAGTGCACCACTCTTTCATGCCCAACTCTCCACACATGCTGTCAACAAAAGTGAGTGGACTCTCCCTTGTTTGTTGAAGCAGTTCAAGGACAATATGGCTGCCAGAGACGTGAGCCCACCCATTGTTCTCCTCAGTGATATAGATGCCACGCCAGGAAAATAAACCATATTCATATGGCTTTCTACTTTATTAGACCACTAAATACAATTCAACATATGTGCAGTGAATCATTCCAATTCAGACTGAAAGTAACATTTACTTTCCACCCTTTAGGGGTTTTCAGACTTAAGACTAATATCAACCACCATCAGGCAAGTCGTGCTTAATAATTTGCTACATAGTACACTTCTTCCAAAGGGCTCCATTGTGTGTCAGGAGATCCAAACGTGAGACCAAGATCTACCAGGAAGCTTGGAGGAAAGTGTGCCCAGAGTGTGCAATAGCCTGTGTGGTTTCCATTCTGTAAAGATCAAGACGTAATTAGATTTCTCTTTCTCTCTCTCTCTCTCTCTCTCTCTCTCTCTTTGTGTACATGTATATACATGTGTCCTTACCTTTGGTTTACAGTCCTGGAGAAGAGTGAATTCAAGGATGAATCCCTCTATTTCCGCTTTTATGCTGATGAGGAGATGGAGGGTACAAGCTCCAAGAGCAAGCAATTGCGCAATGACTTCAAACTCATTGAAAACATCCTAGCAAAAAGTCTGCTGGTAAGAGATGCATTTAATTTAAGGCACTGTTATATTTATCTTTCTACGAACATAAATTTATGCCACAGTATAGGAGAATGAATAATCTGGTTGGAAATCACATTCCCCAACTGTACCTTGCAATTGACTTTGATTCATCATAATTCTTCTCTTGAGCATTGCCCTAGACCAGTGGTTTTCAACCTGTGCTCCATGGACCCCTGGGGGTCCACAGGGTATGTCTGAGGGATCCATGAAAGTTGATTATGATCAACCAAAAGTGTGTGACTAGCCACACTTACAATTCAAAGGGGTCTGCACCTCCCTTTGAAATTTCGAAAGGGGTTCACACCTCCATTCAAAATTTTTCAGGGACCTGCAAATGAAAAAATGTTGAAAACCCTAGACATTTGGAACACAGAATGGCATAACCAGCCTGGGAATTGTAATTAGGTTGGAGTCGTCTAAAAATGTCTGAGAATCATGTTTTTGAGAGTCATCATCAGAGTGACTGCATAGCTCTCAAAAAGATAGATTCAGGACATGTCTGGATCAAGTATCAGTCGCATCTGAATTTCATATATGGGACCCAAAAATATCATGTTCCAGGTTTAAATAGTATTTTAGGGGTGCACCAATAAAGATTTTTTTGGGCTGATGCCAATGGCCAATTATTGACCAGCCATATCAGCTGATACCAATCCGATTGCCGATGTGCAGCATCCAGTGCGTAAGTCTGTTGGAAGAGGTGTGGGGGGAGGGGAGAGGGGAGGGGGGCAGATTGAGGCCCCCACAGTGAGGGAGGGAGCGGGACAGGGGCAGGTGCTGCACAGGCAGGCGGGGCATGGGATGGAGCCACGACTTATCTGGAGGGGGGATGGGGGGAGCTCCTTCTGCTGTGCGCACTCCCAGGGGAGGCACAGGAGGGCATGTGCCCACCAGATCTATGCTTGGGGCAAGGGTGGGCTGCCTGCTGCTGGCGTGGGGCTGGGAGCTGTGCCAGCCTCTTCCTGGTGTGGGGGCTGGGCCCAGGCTGCTCTCCTGGCAGGCGAAGGCACGGCAGGAGGTGGCAATGCTGGGAATGGGGAGCTATGGGGGGACTACAGCCACCTCATAATTTGCTGTGGCCCCCCTCCCAGTGCCACCATCGTTGCCTGCCTTGCCCACCCTAAGCACAGCCCTAGCACAGGCCCCACCCTGACTGGGCAGTGCCTGCCCCTATCTCTGCTCCACTCCCTTCCTCAGTGGAGGAGCCTCGATCAGCCCTCCACATGCCCCTTCCCTCCCCCACATTCTTTCCACCCCAGACTTAATGGTCTAATGCTTCTCTCTAAGCTGCCAGGCTGCATTCCTGGCTGCATGCATGCTGCAGCTGCGCACATGCACATGGCATTTATTGGCAACATTATCTGCTACATCAGTGAAAAAAAGTCAACTGCTGATAATGTTGATTTTCCTTTTATTAGTGCTGCTATGATATAGACTGATATATCAATGCACCTCTAGTATTCTTCATGCTACCCTTAAACCAGTGCTTGTACCCCATGAATAAGGTGACCATACATCTTGGTTTGGCCTGGACAGTCCCAGATTCCATAGACTGGTCCCAGCTGGTTGGTCAAAAGTCCCAAGCTGGAGTCCAGCAGAAAGGTGGAGCAGCATGGTGCACCAGGCTGGCGGGTAGTCAGACACTGCTGCTGCTGTGTGGGAATAAGTCAGGTTGACTGAAGCAGGCACCACCCAGGGCCCAGCATGTGTGGATGGGGTGCTGCCTACTCCAGTCTACCCACCTTGCTCCCACACAGCATCAGTGATGCCTGATCACCCACTGCCTGGCACACCATGCCACTCTACCTTCCTGCCAGACTCTGGCTTGGGACTTTTAACCAACCAGCTGGGATGGGCCTATGGAATCCGGGGCTGCCCCAGCCAAACTGGGATGTATGGTCACCCTACCTATGAAGCCCATTCAGTTAAAACATCCCCACACACTCCACGAGGACTAGTTTTTCTGTTCAGACATGGACATTATTTGTCCAGGAGACACCATTCACTACTGGTGGCCAAGGGCCCATACTCCTCTTCCTTCAAGTTCTGGTAGAATTCAGGAGTCAGAAGAAAGGCCGGATTAACAACAATAAAAAAAGATCCAGAGGTCCATTATAGCAGGGAAGATTTTCCCTTGGTGGTTCACAGAAACTATTCCCTCCTGCTGCTATCTTACCTCCAGGGAGCACTGTATAATGATATTTTAGCTCTTGTTCTCCCTGTATGCAGTGTCAAGGATCTGTGTGTCAGGCTATTGTATTCATTCTCATAGAACGTTCTTCATACAAGGAAGCTGTTAAAGGTATCATTTGGTTAATCTCCAAATACTTGCACTCTGGGCTTGTTTCTTGCACTTTGCAAAGCAATCAGAGATCAATTCCATATTCATCCACAGGAAGCAATCTTGATTCAAGTTCCTTTGATTTTCTTCCCTCTGAAGAGAGGCGAGTTTTTTGGGAAAACAGATGAAGCAGCACATTTCTTCCACTTTTCTTTCCTCCAGTGCAATGGACTGCTGTTTAAAAGGGCAAGTGCCTTACAAAAGCAATATATTAACCCTCAAAATAAGAGAGCCCGTTAAAACTCAGCGGTGGGCAGATCTGATTGATCCTGGCTTCTGTTACTGCATTATCATTAGTTTACATCTATGTAAATACCGTTTCAGCCTGTAGACTCTGCGAATCATTTGCTTTGTCTATTTGCTTTCGTTAACTTGACTGATCTAAGTCACTCCATAACTGGAACTGAAAGGCTTAAAAACAGCAGAAATATTTATCATTGCTAAAAATGATTGCTTTTCTTTTAGTTCCCAAATGCCTCAGTCAAGACCAGTTGTGTAAACTTACGGGTGCGAGCAGGGCAGTGACCTAGGAGCTGATTGGAGCGGGGCACCAGAATGGTGGCCCTGTAGGGAGCCCGTGCCACTTCCCTCGCTGCCACCACACTTGCAGGAGCCCTTGTTTGAGGACGTAGGTACTCTTCCTAATATCCCATGCACTGCCCAGGGCACCAAATTGCGAGTTACTTCACTGATCAAGATCAAAGTCTCATTGTACTAGGTGAGATACTAACACAGAGAAGGATACACTGGAAGGGTACACTCCCTTCCCAGAGAGCTGACAGTTTGAAACTAGTAACAAAATAATAAACACTGAATAAAAAGCAACACACTTACTGGCCCAGATTGGCAGTGAAGCTCAGTTTTAGCATGAGTAATTAGCCACTTGACAGGTTCACAAATAAATCAGCAGCTGCCCTGTATATTTGAGAAGAAAAGGATGCCACAAAGAACAGCAAAAGAAACATATTACAGTTATTTATGAAAATATTTGTGCCTTGCTTTTTTGAATTATTAGACAAGCTCTGCACAGCAGATAAATAGTAGCTGGAATCCGTATGCTGCTCTGTCTGCAGAGCGTCCCCATCTTGGTGCCGTTTTAACTGGGCTTTTCTGCATCAATTCATTCTTTCTGTGGTGTTCTCTGTGGGCTACAGTGAAGGTTGTGTTGGCTTTTAACTGCACTGTGCTTCAGCCGTGTAATCTAAATTGTTTAACGGGAACAAACTCAGCATACTCATCTAGTCCTCTATCTCAGATGACCTTTCCCTGTAAGGAAGAAAACAAATGAAGCCTCCTGACAAATGAAAATTGCAGTTGCTGAAGGAAAGTGATTCCAAGTTGGAAAAAAAAGACAGGTTTCAGACAAAGTTTTATATTAATTTATTTGTGCAATTGTTTTTGATTTGAGGATGTTAATCTTGGCATGCTGGAAAAATATACAGGATTCTTTTCATAGTTCAAGAGAATTAAGCCTTCAGACTGCCTGCAGATACTAGGCTTGTATCAGTATCACAGCATTCCTTATTAACTTAGGATCTAGACCAGGAGTCAGGAACTGCCAGCACGCATGCCAGAGCATGATATGAGAGGCTGTTTTGCTGAGCACACCACAGCTGGCCCAGGTTGCTCACAGCCCTACCGTGAGCAGCCTGGGTTCTGTGGCCAGTGGTAGCTGCATGCATGCATGCCTTGGAGCGCACAGTGGGGAGGGGGCCTGGGGTGGCACAGCGCCAGCCCCTTCCCAAGGCATGCATGCAACTGCTGCCAGCAACAGCTCTGGACCCCAGTGCAGCTGCTTGCAAGCTTGTGACCATCTGCTGCAAGCTGCTTGGGCTCCATGGTGGGCTACAGGGGCCTGCCCAGTGCCTGGGCTGCTCGCAAGACATGACCACATGTCTGCAAGCAGTTGCACCAGGGCCCAGAGCCCTGGCCCGCCTCGTTGCTGGCAGCAGCTGCACATACACTGCAGGGAGCCCGGCAGGGAAGGAACCAGGGCTGTGGTGCCCCAACAAGGATCAGGCTCCTTACAGCTACCCCACCATCCACCCCTGGCATGCCAACATCTTTCAAATCCAGGTTGGGGGGGGGGGGTTTGGCACTCGGCCCAAAACTGTTGCTGACCCCTGATCTAGACCTCTGCTCTTCAGGTCTAGCATTAGCACAAGAGAAGACCCAGAGCTGATAACTTCTTATGAATCTTTCAGGGATATAAATATACTTATTTTTGTTTCTCAGAAATTTAATGCTGTATGCAACTTATAAGTTATTTAGCCTGCTCCCTGCCCTGCCCCCAGTGTCCTGTCTGTGTCTGGGAGACACCAGAATTTTCCCACCATCCTTTGTCCGATCCTTATGGAAGATGTCAGAGGTTCCCGCATCATTACTGAGATACAGCCTCCAGACTCCTTTGGTACCTTTTTCAAAATGACATGATCCCATTTTCAAAAGGCCCTATGTCATGTAGGAGGCTAAAAAATATTGTAAGTCTATGCCAAAAATATCACCTGCTAGCATTTTAGTGCCAGTTTCAAAGAAAGACAGGAGCTAGTACTTTGAGCAGGGAAGACCTGGGCTTTAATCCTGTTACTGATAATGAGCTCTAAGCATAGAGTGAGTTAGTTGCTTAGGGCGC